GAGTCCACCTTTACTCTAGGAACGTAAACATTTATTATATAATTTTCTTTACGTTAAGTAAAGATGATTCGCAATTTACTTCCATATTTGCCTAGTAGTTAGTGAGTATCAAATAGATGGTATGGTTACACGTGGAGAAAGTTTTGTTTGTACGGGACATATATAAAAACTTGCAACCTCATGATTATAATTTATAATAACAAAGATCGATGGAATATAAGATATATTCTACATAAAATAAAATAAAGTATTTTATAGTAAGTATTTTATATATAGTAATTATAATTCTCACAGGTTTTGAGCAGGAATAAAATGTTCTAAAGATAAAACTTATAGTACTTACATTTCATCTAGTAATTATAAAAGATTTTTCTTGATTGAAAAAGATCTAGATTAATAATTATTGACAATTATCACAATCACTATTGTCGGTTCCATCTCCCGACGTCCATAATAGATTTTTTTCTACTACTTTAACTACTACTAATAATTACATTCTGTCTTACTTCGAGCCTACGAAGAAATTGTATTATTGTATGGTGGATGATAGTTTATATACCTACACATTTGTTTTAATTTGAATTAAATTTATTGCTTTGTTTGCTAAAAAGTCTATCCCTATCAATCTAGAATAGAATTCTATATATATGGAAGTCTAACCCCCCCTGATAGACTTCCTTAAGTATTTATCTTGCCAGGAAGTCATTGGGTTTTTTATTACAATTTCTTCGTAAGCTCGGAGTAAGACAGAATGTTATTTAGTAGAAAAAAAGCTATTATGAATTTCGTATTTTATCAAGATCTTTTGCGAACTCTTCAACAATAATTGCTACAGTTCAGTTAATATACTTACATATAAAATTGATCAAAAATCGCGCTATCACGTTCTTACAAAAACATACGGAAGCGGCCGGGGAACTTCATAATTTATAACGTTATGGTAGAAATACATTAGTAAGTTGTATTCAACATGTTCCTGAATCTAACTACAACGGTTTTTATAATCAGATGTAGCGAAGTAACTAATCGATAATCGAACAATTCACATGATCACAAATTCGTGTCACCTAATTCTCTCTATATTAAACAAAATGCGTATTGTGCTTATCGCACACACGCGATTTCAACGTAAAATCTATGAATACGAGATAAAAACATAATCGCAGTAAGCGGATCGTGATTATACACCGTTCATTGAACTACTTTTAATTCTATTAACAGTGGTACTATTTTACGGAAACAACACGGCAGTTTTACATAGTACGACCTACTAAATAATTTATATGTTCTATTAAATAAAGGTATCATAAATTTTATTTCTTATATTTTTCGTCGTATAAACCTAAAACCAACACAAGTACAAAAAACTTATATAACGTGAAACTCTTTCAACATACCACTGTAAAGAAAAATAATAAATACAGTGCAAATGTGCGAAATTACAAAAATGATAATACATTACAACTATTTACACCTAGTTTCAAACATAAATCTCATTTTCCCATACATATAAACATAATGTCGTACAATGAAAGGGGCTTTGTAATAAGCAATTTCTTTCAGACAAACAGTGTTTTAAGTAAGTAGGTACCGTATATTCTATATAATAGATAGCCTTTATTTGAGTATTATAATTAAAGTTACATTAAATTTGTATTATTATTATATTAAATACTAGTACACGACCTCCTTCAAATTCTTCCACTTGTCTTTTAGCTTCGCTACTTTATTCCAATGTCTTCTATTTCATCTTCCCAGGTTTCTAGTGGTAAGTACCATATCTACTAAAATTAAAAATCTACTAATAAATACATACAACTGACTATCAAACAACTATATTTTTTTCGTACTAATCACTTTTGTGGCACGAATTCGAACTATACGTGAGACTAACTAAGCCTAAAAAGTAGTTCATTTATAGATGAGGCCGCACTGCCATCTAGTAGATATCTACGATTACATCTACTAATTGGTATAAATCTAAACAAAATATGAAAACGCTCTACGCTCAACGACTACGTAAGAAAGTGTTTAGCAATTTAAACTGTTAGTACTACAATTGTACAACTAGCACATTCCAAACCTTTTTTCAAATATAAAATCGCTTTGTATAAGTACAAACCAACAATTATTGACTATAAACAAACAAAACTAAACAATAATTGCCAATTCCTGATTGCCTACTATTTGCAAAAAAATGTGAAACAGGAGTTATCACACTAATATTATATACGATCTGCAGACAATAATAGCTTTATAATTGTTACGAGAAACTTAATACAAAAAAGGTTATACAGGAACATGGAACAATTGCTGCGCACTGACTGACAAGCAGACTCGGCTAGTTAGTTGTAAGCTATTATAAACTCGTTAATGTGTATTTTTTACTGAGCAAAAAAACTCGTCAATGTGAATCGGTATTATCTAAGTACCTCGTACGGACCCTGTGGAGTCACAGTTCACGAGTCATTTAATATGGGTAGGTTAAATTTCCATACTTTAATCTTGTCTGTTGTGGAAAGATACGATTGTAATAGTATGGATATGTCGCAGCCACCTAGCGGCCTGAAAGATGTTCAGCCAGTTGATCAAACAGCTAGGCAAATGACTTTGATCGATGACTTTCAGGCTGCTAGTTAAACGGCGCCGTTTAGTTAGAAGGCTAGGCAATTAATTAAACGGCTAATTAACCTAGTTGGCTGCGATAGATATATATAACTACTTAGTAGCGCCAAAAGTGAGTGTGCACTGAAAACTTTATTTCCAAATTTAAGTCGAGAAATTTACGAAGCTTTACTTTAATTACGAAGCTACGTTAAACTTAAAACTGTTGGAATTGCTATGGTGATGGACAACAAAATACTTATTTATGCTTTTAACTGCCTACAGACTCTTTTTTATATATCTGTTTTAATAATTGATTTGTTTAAAGGCAAGTAGGTGATCAACCTTTTGTGCCTGACACGCAGGAGATATAAGGATTGAATAGCAATTTCCTCAATGTATTTCTTCCATATACGAGCAAGTGTTAAAGTTAAATATATATGTAATCATTTACGGGATTCAAATGCACTTGGACTAAGAATTGCATTGTCGAATGTTTATTAATTCGTCGAATAGATGGCGCGGAAATGAACGTAAGGTAAAATAACGTAAGGTAAGGTAAAATACGAACTGAAAACCAACCAGGATTTGATTAAAAGTAAATTACATTCTAATTGTTAGTATGTGGAAGTAATGTCGACGCTCGTGTTCGTCACTTGTTTACATAATTACACATGAGTGAAATGCATATTTAACTAATGAAACTAGTTCGGAAGCGCACATTGTAATTACAGAAATGACGGATTGTTTTCTAATTCTTTTACTTCCATAGAAATTATAAACACAATAAGAATTTACAACAATTCATCAAACAAATTCTTAAAGTAGCGAGAACTACCATTTATTGTGTATGTATGGAGCCTGTGACTTCCAACCCTGAGATCGTGTGTTTGAATCACAGGTGTGTAGACCCACCAACAGATTTTTCTTTCTATATTTTTATTCAGTGAAGGCGACAATCGTGAGGAAATCGACCACAGGAGTCATACAAGGCCGATATCCTACGTCTATGTAATAAAAATAATCAAAGAAAGCTATACGATTTGAGGCCATATTATTATAGTATTTCTGGATTATTATTATTCAAACTAAAACCATTAAAAACTGATTAAAATATTTCGTCACTTAAATGATTTTGAGTTATAAAGGTTACTTTTGATTCTGACTTATCTAGGTGAAGGGAAAGGGTGTGATAAATTAGAATAAAGAATTGAAAAACAATGTAAGTCATCATTACGTTTATTGTTACTTATTTTATACATATAGGGCCGTTTACAAAAATGTAAATATGAAAAAAACACCATGAAATCTCACACTTCTTACATTTATTCATCTAACATATCACGATATATAAAATCATTTTGTTCACCTCACTACGCTTTGGGCACAATTTTCATTTAGAATACACAATAAATATAGCCGTAACATACAAACTGCCGTATAGAACCTAACATTAATATTAACATAATAAAACAGTGGCGCTATAAAAATTTTAGGTCTGGGCCTCAGATTTCTGTATCTGTTTCATGATCTGATTTTTTGTAGGCACATAGGTGATCATCCTGTGCCTGGCATACGCCAACGACTTTTAGACTTAGACCAACTAAGGCAAGCCGGTTTTCTCACGATGTTTACCTTCACCGTTCGAACGAATGTTAAATGCGCACATAGACAGAAAGTCCATTGGTTCACAGCCGGGGATCAAACCTACGATCTGGGATGAGAGTCGTACGCTGAAGCCACTAGGCCAACACCGGTACTACCATTAAAATATTACTCTTATTAAAATAGCACTAATAAGTAATCTATATAAAAATGTGGGTGAAACGGACATTTCAAGTGTGAATTAAGTTTACGCTTAAAGGAATCGAGTCGAAATATATCGGGATCTAGACTAGATAGTCTGTTATATAATATATAAATTTTGATTAAACCACGTATTAAGCGAAGACAAAAACCACTCGATTTTTGAATTTAGACTCAAAGTAAATAAATTACAAACATGAAGGTTAAACCTATTTACAGTTTGGCATCAAACAAAATCGAATAAGCGTCCAGCACTTAGTTAATTTAGTATTGAAGCTCCAAATAATTCTGTAAACAATTATAAATATTAAAGGCATTTCTGCAATACCGAACAATCTAATCGTTAACGTAAGCTATTTGAAATAAAACTAATAGTTGAATTAACATATCAAAACTAAAACTAAGGTGTGTTCTAAGGATATGTGAGTTTGAAATTAGAAGGTGAATGAAACTATCTGTTACCCGGAGTGGGTACCGTTTACCTACCCGGTATACATTGAAAATTTGACTTGCATTAATGGTGCTGGAATAGTCATAATGTCAACTATTACCACTACAATACTACTTAAAACTAATAAAAACTGTATAAATTAAGTTTTCGGTACTGTAATCTTTCCCCAGCCCATATAAACGAAGACAGTGGAGTATGAATAAATTATACCGAAATGTGGACCTACAGAACGCCGTAATCTCTTTGGCCTCTCTGGTATCGGTTTTGCCGGGTGGTCGATACCCAGTTCCCCGTTGCCATAGCAACCAACTAATGGAGTGTCTGGAAAAACTGTTCGGAATGTGTCTTGTTCAAATTTGTGCTTCCGGTCTCGACCTATGCAAGCAAGTTTGAAGCAAACGCTATGCTCAAAGCGTGGGACAGACTTGGAAAACTGTAAAATTAAAAAAAATGATAAGATAATATTATTAACTCTTAGTAGAAGAAGCCCTTTAAATTGTTCTATTATTCGGTAGTTATTATTGAATACTTGAATGTTTAAGATATAAAACTCTCAGAAATTTTATATATTATAATCTTAAAAAAATACTTTCAAATTATTACAAATGGCGACCAAAAATTACAATGTTTACCTGTGCAAGAGCCGAATGTATCTTTTGCTTGTCCCACTCAGAAGATTCAATTATTAATGAGAACATATCAAAATTGCTTTCATTTACAGTATTCTTCGGAATTGTGAATATGCCAATAGATATGAGATTGTCGCTCACTGCATCCCCTGAAGTATCACTCACCAAATGATTTATATCATTGGAATCACACACTGTATCTTCACAAATGCAGCCACCCATTGCATATGGTATGTCAGGTTGACTGAAAAAACCCTTAAGTTAAGGTTTAAAATAAAAAAAATTATGTATTCTGAACAATTTAACCGTTTTAAAAACTGTTAATTAAATGTTTTAAGACAGTTATGAGAGCTGCAAAATCAGTAACTAAGCATTGTTAAGAACTTCTTAACTTTAAAATATATATTAGTTTTGAATACTTACACTTCCTTTACATGATTAAAAAAGACAACATCTTCAACGGAATTTAAAAGATGTTTGTCTGTCACAAACACTAATAGGCCTTTTATTATGTTATCTTTTACAATATCATCAACATCTGTATAAAATTGTTGTTTCATTTGCTTATAGTCTTTCAAGTTGATCATATGAAACTTGACATTAGGTATAACAGGTATAAAGATTCCTCCAGTGAATGAAGACAGGCTACACTGTGTTGATGTAAGCGTGTTTTCTTTGGTGTTTGAGTTGGGTAAAGGCATATAAGCTACATATAACGCTTTGACTCCCATCATACATTCTTTTGGTGCCGTTGACAATTTGTGGATAGCATCAATTACTGTAAAGTGAGTCAAACCAAAGTGATATAAAACATGGAAATTAACATAGAAACTTGTGGATTAGGACTGACATGACTCACTGTCCATACACACACACACACATTGTACATACTAGGTTGATAATTGGTCTATTAAAACAGTTTTGAGCATGGTACTCGATAAATTTCTGTTTAGCTGCACAGAAGGCTGACTTACTTGCTAGTAAATTATTTTTCTCCTGCACCATATTCATCCATAAAAATCTTTACAGCATTACAAAACTTACCTAGATGATCCTTTCCACAAGGTGGATCACAACAACAAGGAGAAATATTCTTACAACTTATTGTCTTAGGAAACTCTGTTACATTCATAAATGTAAACACAGCTAATGGTTCATTAGAAAATGTAGATGACTGTTTTATATGACCTTGTTTTACTGAAAAATCAACAGGGCATAGTTGTTCCTTCCTGAGAGCATTGATTGCAGAAAGCCATGTACTACATACATGTTTATATAGCAGCTTCTCCTGCCATCTCATATTGCTCAGTATTTGTTTAGCTATCACATAATTAGTGACAATACTTTCTATTTTATCATTTTGACATGCTACAATGTGTTTATCTCTCTCTAAATGCCTATTCTCTAAATATGCTGCTATATTTTCATCTAATTGCAGTTTTGATGTGGGTTTAACAGTACATATATTAACACCTGATAGTTTACTATCTGATTCTGCCATATTTCTATATTCTAGTCACAATCTCATAATCATTTCCTGTTGAAATAGGATCACTCTTTAACAGAGACAATATTAAACAATATAAATATATAAAGAAAAATACTAAGTAATAGCCAACGTGAATTAGTACATCACGCATATATCTCTTTAATTGGCCTCTATTATGAATCTCCGTGGGATCATAAGCACCCAAATTACCTTGAGGAACGGTTAAAAACTGAAAAGTAAGCCAAATACACATAGGCAAATTCAAAAGAAACAATAACAGTTGGCCGTGTAGCAATAACAGAAATGTGGTAAAAGATTGGCAAATGAACTTTGGCAGAAGCCAGTAGTTCAACTTATCACAGCACTCTTGAGCGTTCAAATAATCACATTCCAAATCTGATAGCGTTATAATGTAGTAGATGAGAATAAAGAACGATGCGCCGCTTATTAGCAGAGCAAGTGCAAACAGTAAGGTTTCAGCAAATATCATCACTTTAACTCAGCAGCAACTTCAGCAGTCCAGGTCTATTTATACATGAAAATTAAAAAATAAGCAAACCGAGACGTTCATTTAAATATGTTTAAGATTAAACAATTGGTACAACATATTACTTCTCAAAAAACAATACATTAGACTTCAATACAAAAGGAAGTAGGGGTGCACCGTGCAAGTTGCAACTGCAAACAAATTGTTATTTCACAGATTAAGAAATATTACATCACAGATACCTAATAGGAACCAATTTAATAGATCACATTTGATAATCTGTTAGTTTTATCTTTATAATATTCATCTTCGCAACATTGTAACGACGTCAGGTACTCAGTTCACTCTTTAGAACATTTTATTTATTATGTTTAGAATACTTTATTATTAAAGTAAATCGTTAAATTACATTCTACTGTGATTACTACAATAAATATATTTTGAAATTGAAAGAAGAAACTTTTTTCAATTTCGATAAAACTATCCTAACATCAAAAAATTTATATTATATGCCATTACAATGTTATATTATTGAATTGTGATGGCGTGACAAATGCGATTTATTAATTTAGCCCTACTTCTACTATAGTCTCCAGATAGTTGTAATTAAATATAAAAAACATGTTAGTAGGATATAAAATCTTGAACAAGAGAAAGGGAGCGTTCTAGGATGAATCCTAGGGTTTCTTACCTTCAGACGAGTAAATATGATAAGCTGTGCCCATACCTAACACTCCTAACAGATTAACTAGGGATGTGACATTCTGCATACAAAATCGATTTTGTATTAATCGATTTTTCTTTAAAAAATAATAGATTTTTTTATTAATAGTTTTTTTCCTAATTTTTTAATTAATTTCAAAATAAACACCCTAAATATTTTATTTTCCATGGTTTTTTTAATTAAAAATAAACAATAGAAATTATATACACAAATTAACGTTTAAGAATAATCAAAATCGAAATTAACTTATTCTCGTTTTGATAGATTTTAGGTGAAATTTGATAAATGCCTTTTCTCCAATGTGCTACTTTGCAGTATTTTTGTTGTCTTTTTAATTGTAAGTAGTCTTGTGCTGCTGAACAAATTTATTTTACTTTTAAATTATAGTGTTCCATTCAAACTTGAGTTTTTGTAAAATTAACTGGTTTTATCATCCTTTCGAAGTTTTACAAAAAAAACATCAATGCATCGAGTATATCAATACATCTTCAAAGAATCGGATTCAATGTATCGCATTGTAAACATCGTTGTATATCGAATATCCCTAATAGTTCGAGGTCCGGGTTGTAAAAGACCAGACATAATGTCGGGAGGTGGCAGATGAAAAATCGACTAGGATTGATTATCAATTATAAAAATAATCGATTATTCCAAATATAAAAATCGCGTAAAAAAATCGATTTTTACTTTTTAATAATCGATTATTTTTTCACATCCCTAAGATTAACCCTCTCGGCTCGCAGTGTTTGAAACACAATATAGGTAACTTGCTTTTTATTACGATTGCTCTTGCACAATTTTCGTTTCTACGATTTTCCATTCTTAATTTAAGATTAGGTTTAGTTGAACATGTAGACATTATGATATCAGATAGACTGTAGACCTATTTTTTTCTTTGAAGATTTTTTAAAGAAAGTTTTGGAACCTGATTTATATAGCTGCCTAAAAATTGCCGTTACTATAACATGTACTCTTTTATAAATTTTGAAGTCAAAAGTCGAAAATCAAGTAGGTATCTTTTATCAAAATATCAGCAAGAAATTATTGTAGGAATTAAATAATTAATTATTTGTATAGGTAAAGAAAAAATAAAACAAGATTTGTAAATTTTTTATCAACAATCTTTTCTTATACTAATAAAGGCTTGGTAAATATTTACAAGGCTTCATTATACGGCAGGTAAAAAACTATCCAATTTCTATATGTTAATTTCGATATAAGTGATTATCACATTATCATGAATACTTGGCTCTGCCATACATTGGATATTACTAAGTGGTACTGAATATTTTTATCAAATACACGTTAATATTCATACAAACCTTAATTATATAATAAACACACATATAACGAAGCCAGTTTTAACTTATTTTAAACAGTTACACAGCTTAGCATTGCCTATCACTTCAGAACATAATTATATCCAAGAAACAAATGTTAAAACTCTCCTAAAGTAACAATAACGAATGGTGAAACAATTACCAAAATTAATCTCACTTTAATATCAGTATAAAGAAAGCAAGTTAGAATATGAAATCAAATATAAAAAGGGAACCTATTTAAGATTACTTTGTTACATAAAACCTGCCTTCTTCACCTCGATTAAACAGTAAATTCTATGCTAAGGCCCATGTGCATCAATTTTTAACAGCCAGTTTTATTTTGGGTTGGTCACTCTTAGCTAAATAACGGACCGTTAAAACGTTGACGCTCAAAGGTCTAATAATTCGTGATATTTGAATGAATACACACTAAAACAAACTAGGCCTGACTTGGGAATGGTAGAATTGATTTAAATAAATTTTCTAAAAGGATAGGTACAATTTTGATGAGCAATTCTAATAGTATAAATATATTTAAGCTACAATAAAAATTACAATAATTTACTTATTTAATGGAATATAACTTATGTTTAGTAAAACAAAGAAAACCAATGTTATATGTTATGATTGATTTTACTAAAATCGTATATTAGTAACGTCCCAGCATGAAAATGGGAACTATGGCGTAATACTATAAAAAGCCTAGAATATTTTACTATATTATGTATAATCGCATAACTATGTTATAGCACCATTCCTTATATGACTGTACTCTGATTATTGCAAATTAAAAGTACAATCACATAGCAAATACCAAACCAACCAATGTATCCAAAACTTGAAACTTTCCGAATGGAAACTTTTGACTTACTGAGAAATACAGTTATATTTTATTCTTAGTCGCATGCACTATGAAAAATTAAACAGTTTTTCTCATATTTCCCCTTCGGAAATTTTCAATATTAGAACAGCACACTTAGGGTGAGGCCAAACGAGCGTAATTTTGTGAGTCGTGAGTCGCAGTATTTCGTTCGCAGAAATTCTGTTGGGATGCCAGACGAGCCCATTTTATTCAGTTACTATCGAACGTTTATAGCGGATGTTTGTGTCGTGCAATGGAACCGTTGATAATTTTGTGTATTTACGAAGCATATTTAGAAGAAGAAGTAGATAATGCCAGAAAAAGATGCTGGGTAAATCCTGACTGACTTTGCTCGGCACGCGCTGGCCCCGTCGCCCCCCGCAAACTCAATTCGGTCCGAATAATGCGTGGAGTCGGCAGACAACTCATTTTGCGTCGCCGTGTGAATAAAACAGGACTTTAGTATGAAACCGAATGCAGCAGAAATTACGCGACTGAAATTACGCAACTCACAACTCAAAAATTTACGCTCGTTTGGCTTCAGCTTAACATCATTACTCTACTCATGGAAATACGTTGATTTGACAGCCGATGTATTTTTTTTTGGCACATCACGGTCCGCCAGCTTTCGTTGTCATTAAATTAAATATAAATGCAAATAATGGCAATTTGTCTCCAAATCTATTTTAAGTGCTAAGCAATGGTGAACGCGAAAACATAACAAGGGGAAAAAAATCAAAAAATTATGCAGCCGCCCCTTGTGTTCCCCTAAGTGACTACTGGCTTATCCTAAGCTCAACAGTGGAATGATATATTTGCAAGAATGTAATGTTCACACTTTAATATACATATCAAATGACTAACATTTTGAAACAACAAAACAAGGTAACTTAAATACGAGTGGAAGGTAGATCCAAATGGACTAAGGGGGGGGCATAATTTTTTGTTGGCTCCTACACTTAATGAATATCTAAAATTGATCCCACGCTGGTCCCACCCATGACGATGGCTTGTGAATATGCAAATTGCCTCAAGATTGAATACCAACATTATTGAGTTCAGAAATGAGTCAAAAATTGTGTCGCAAGAGACAGTCACGGTCACTTTTGCATTTCAACAAGACTGGAATGTCACTTTGTCCAAACATTCAAAGTCAAACAAATATTAGAGCAAATTTATTGTCCCTATTTCCTTAGCGTAAGAGCTAGTAGCTTTATATTTTTAAGGATCTTATATTTATTTGAATCTGAGACTTCGGACATGTTTTAGGTTATAGTTTCCAATCCAGAGACGAAATCATTGCATTTATGATTTTAATCGATTTTCTTAAGTGCAATTTAAGTAATATTTCGCCTCGAAATAACCCAATGGTAATTTCTCATAAGTTTTAGTCATCGGGCGGAATGCAGAAATCCACAACTATGTTGAGTATTTAAATTAAATAATTATATACATAAGTAGATATGCCACTGTAAATAATATGGATATATTGTGAGCCAAGTATGCCACTGCGCAAAGGTGACGAAACACGTTACACTCACTAATAAATAAAACACGAAACTTACACTAATTAAAACTAGTGATACTAGCGTATCGGCTTAAGTACCATTCACTCATCAGTGTCGACACTATGTGTTCTGACACTTAGTCCTTGGAAGATAAGCGTAGACTAGCGTTACACAGCTACCCGGTAGCGTCACTATTAAATCTAGCCGAATTAACCGACATACAAAAACTCACTCAATTGACGTCCGATAGAGATCAGGTTAGCATCGTTAGAGAGCGACACCGCGTTGGTGCGAGAGAGAGGGTCATGTGGCGTCGTACTCGCTCTTCTCCCACGAGTAAATCTTGCAGGCGGGCCTCGGAGCGGGACGAGATAGAATGCCGCCGAGTAAGGGGTCGCACTGCGGCATGTGACCGCGCCCGAACAGATTCGGAAAGTTATTGTTCATGTAGTAGTCCGTGTCCATGTTCACACTGTTGCCCAAGTCGAACTCCTTGAAATCGAAGTCACAACGGTCTTCAAACGTGTCGTGGCGCGTGTCTTCATTATGGAAAGGCAAAGACAGATCGTTGATGTCGGGAAAGTCTGTTCTCGATGTATCCAGGATGTCTCCATTAGTGAGTGCGGGTATGCTCATTCTTTCCGTTTGTTCGTCGTCTATGTCCATCCCGTGAGTTTCATCGCTATCGGTTAAAAGTGACAGGAAATCGTTATCGGATGTGGTGTTGCAATCCGCAAAGTTGGCATTGAACTCATTAGTGGCTAACATATCCACGTTGAGGTCGTCGTCTATACCGTCTACTCTTTCGATATCTCCAACAGTGGAGAGATCGTGACCCATAATTTCATTTTGGATCTCATTGAGTTCTCTCTGCAATTCGTCTGCCGCCAACGATTCTCGGACGTGTGAGTCGCTGAGAACATCATCGGTTAATACATCAGTGGGTGTGAAGTCTCCAGGACTGGCGGTGAGATATCCCGTATCAATGGACCTGTTTGAGGCTACATCTCCGACAGCCGACGGTGGCAACTCGCCGTTCTCCACAAGTATTTCCAGAACGTCATCCATTATCTGGCTGTCTTCACTATCGTGGATAGTGGACATTGGGGTTTGGGGCATAGGGGGGAGGGGGCGGAGGTGGCGGTGGTGGCGGAGGCGGAGCCTGTTCCGGCTCGAAGTGCGTCGGCAAAATCGCTATAGGGACAACTTTAACACCGTTCAGAATGTACGCGGGGTTTGTTTTAGGTTGACTGTCACTTGTCACTTCAGTTGATGGAGGTGTCACAGTGAAAAGACGGACCAAGCGATCCGGAGCCGTATCGGGGGTGGCTATTACGTAGCGTTGGGGTGGAGTGGGGGCCGACGGCTGTTGGAGTGCGTCTAACTTGGCTCTCAATTGAGTCACACACAGATGCGCCTGCAATAATCTTCGACTTTGATCACTGGCCCCGGCCGCTTCTCTTCGCACGGCTTCCAATTGCTGCCGCGACTCCTCCAGCTGTCGTTCTAACTCCTCTATCAATCGCCTCTGAGACTGGACAATGTCTTCCGACTCCGGGTCATGCTTAGACTCCGGAGAAGCGATAGATACGGGAGATGTTGGAGAATCTTCCAGCATTTCCATTAAGTAAGGTCGGAGGCGGTCTATCAGTTGCGGCTTGGGACCGGATACTCGTAAGTTCCGGCGTTTGCACTCCGCCCTTAAGTCGGACACTTTCATTTCTTCAAAGCGTGAATTGGCAAAACAACTGGATACTGGTAACGGAGGTGGCGGGGGTGGAAGAATATCTGACGAATCTGATGTTATTGAAGTGGAAGATGGCGCTGGAGACGCCGGCAACATCAGCTGTAGGAGCAATTGCTGTTGTTGCAGTAGCAGCTCGTACGGTGTCTCATCTGATCCAGGAGGTGATGATAATTTTTGGGCGTTCGGTGGGCCCTTATATTCGTGGAACTTGAAGCGAGATTTGCACTTTTCTTTGATTTTGGGTTTTCGTCTGTTTGCTTTTCCTGGTGCTGGATGTTGCGTACTACATTGGGAGACACTCGCAGGGGATAAAATGGAAGGCGGGGATGGTGACGGTGAGATTTCTTCCGGAGGGCCACAATATGAAGAGGGATGTTGTGGACGTCCTGAAGCGCCTTCGCAGGTCGCTTTAAAGGCTAGACTGCCACTTTTGACGGCCGTTTCTATATCCTCTTCTGTGTGTAGTATATTCTTCTTAATGAGCTCAAGCGGGCCCGGTCGGTGGGAAAGCTGATCATTGAGTTGGTCCGCTAGGCGAGCCTTCTTCAACATCCGTTGCTTCTCCGCCAAACTCGGATCGACATGGCTCTCCTGTAATTGTAGAAATGTTAATCATCTCTATTGATTTTCTGGTATAAATTAAAACAGTTTCTATATATACCTATATAAATTCTGTTACCTTAAAGTATTTAACAATTTATCCTAATTGTGAATAGACGATTTCACATACAACAATCATAAAAAATAAACGAATTTCCATTATATCGATTGACTACTTTCATTATAGCAACAATAATTAAGATATTTAAGACATGATATATCAATAAAAATATCTATACCTGTTCCAGTATATGTCTCCGTTCGAGTTCCTGCCGATTCGGGCGACTCTGTATCTTAGCCTTGAGCAAGTCTCCAGTCTTCGCTCTCGCCAACTGCACGCTTTGTTTAAAGTAGGCTGGCGGTGTTTTTAATGCTGCAACGAGCGATAATAAATTTTCAAATTGAACATCAAAATGTGTTATAAAGACGATAAACACGAATCGTTTAGATAAAGTTTATAAAAGCGAGAAATTCTAATTTTATTAGCCAAGTAGAATTTCTCATTAGCTGCGTTTAGATCGTAAATAAAATTCCATCGCCTACGCAGAGTTACAAACGGGAGCTGCGCAGGCGGTTGGGCGCCTAACCAAGACTCGTCATCACGCATTAGTAATTGTCCTGTTTATACCATTTGTAAATAGGTGATATTACTTACGTGGCATTATTCCTTGAGCTACGAGCTGGTTGATCGGTCGCCGCATCATCAGTTTCACTTTCAACGCTGAAAAATTTATTCAATTCTAAATAACGATAAATTATGGGGATAATTTTAGATCGCTATTTCCTTAATGTATTTATTTTACCGTATATAAATCATGTAGATGTTTTGCATGTGATATTATGAAAAAGGATGTTATGACGGCCGGTGACGAATTTCGACGCAAGGTAGACGTGATCGATACGTCGATAGATGCATCATTATAATATCGATTTGCCGATGGGCGTAGGCGAAAGAAGCGTTGTATTCCTATTTGCTTGCAGATGAACGGCGTCGGACGGACAACACTGGCATCTAGCCAACATAAATAAACACTGCACAAGGAAACTAGTGTTATGCCGCGACCGTAATATAGACGAAACATTCACTACCACTGGGCCGAAAATTGTGGGTTACTAGGCGTTTCACACTTTCGATATCATCCCGGTCTCAAATCGGTGAATATAACGCACGTTTTACGCCTACACTGTGATTTATATTCTCAAATTAATGATGTCGAAAAGGTGTATCGGCTATATATCACGGTGGAACGACAAATGTTTCCAGCAATATTAATAGGATAAGAAACGTCTAGAAATAGGAGTCTGATTTGTAGATTAGCAATAGCATACTATTAAATAACGGGAGGTACCTATGCCCTTAAATTATGGAAATTATTCTCTAAAATAATACAAATAAACGCAGCATTTTAAATCACAGACTCGTTGCTCAGGCCTGCATTTTTGCGTGTTTATACTTACTGCACAGACGTGACGTCAAGTAGGGTTGTTTATTAGCGACGCACGCGCAGATAACAAAAGCTGACTTGCATCGCCGGATGCATTGTATGTGCGTTGTATATAATTATTGAAAGATATTATAGTTATTTTTAACTGCCTATGGAGTTAAGATTCATGAGACAACCTATGACGTTCAATTATCATAAAAAAGTACATGTACGTCGCGAATATGACTGAGTCGCATGATTACTCCTAAACAGATAAAACTAATCCGGTCTGGCATCTATTTAGTTCAGAGACTCGAATTTTCGAATTTTTAAATTTTGATATATCATTAAATAGATCAATATTACAATACTAATAATATAACCGATTACTTTATTTTTATTTTGTCGTTTTCCGTGCGTAGTCCGTGCGTACTACTAAACGACAACTATTGAACACTGACTAAATTTATAAGAGTGTCCATTATTTGTTATAGGAAGATTTTCTTTTCTTTCGAATTAGTGTTAAGCTTTAATGGTAGAAAATAAGTTTAAAATAAAAACCTTTCCGATCCGATTATGTAATGATTATAAATCACATTGGCATTGGTTCACGAGTAATTTATTGTATCGATTGACTGGCCATTCATAATCTGTGGTATGTCATTTAATAGTATCGATAGTGTATAGTACAAAAATAGCAGTAATTTTACGCCTTTGCCAAGGAACGTTGCAGTACTTATGGTGTTGATATAGCCTTGTGTTACTTTAAACTAATTAATATTTGAAGACCTAAGTAGTCCATAGTACAAAGAACAGTGACGGGTGGATGATTTTGACAATATTCATAGACATGGTCCTTCGAACTAGAGAGTATAAGTCTTGAGCAACTTGTAGTTAGACTTTAAAATTTCCTTTAAGTAAAAAACATAGATTTCTACGTGATACTCACATTCCTTGTGTTTGCCCATTGCGGGCTGTAGGGGGCTGTCGTCAACAACAACCTTGGGCGGGGAGACGCGGGGCGGCGAGCTGGGCGGCTCACTCGCACCGCTACTGCTTGCTTGACGGCTAGCCATGTCCTCCGCGCCCGAACTGGTGATATAAATGAATGTTTTGTAACGTAATTGTATTTTAAAATTTTGATATACGACACAGGTTAAAAATAGATCTAGATCTAGATTTGAAAGTTATCACAGATGATAGTGACTACTACTACCAACTTGAGGTATTAAGCGTAAGTGTATACTATAATATAATCAAATATTTATTTATATATTTGACACTGCAATGCAACGAGTATTACAGAACCCGCACAATCAGAACACTTAAATCATTACGAAGGCAATGGGCGGCCTTCTCTTTCGAACGATCTCTTCTAGCCAACCCCAAGCTTAAGATATTAGTCATTATCAGGCAAAACTAAATATTTAATGTAAAGCTCCATTTAATGCACTTGGCGATTTACAAACATCCATAATTTAACATACCTGAAGATATCGTCTTCAGGCGAGGTTGCCGGCGTATTCGGCGAGGCGAGCAGCGGCGAGGGCGTAGCGACAGGGCTGCGATCGCGGCGCGGCTGCTTGAACCACTCAGGGTAGATGGCGCTCAGCGTCTCGACCAGGTCGTGGTCCAGCGTGACGCGCCACGAGGTGCGCTCCTCGCCTTCCGACCCGTCGCCAGCGCCACACGAACGGTTCTCTAGAAAATTAATATTTATTTATGAAAAATAGCCATTTTTTATTCAGACAGCACAAAAAAGGACCGGTTAGAGAATCTTACTGAGGCAAAATAGTTTCAGGATTTAGGAAGCAGTTGTGGGTTTAGTAACCCATTACAGTAAGTTGTTATTATAATAAAATTCTTATCAGAAAAAATGAAAAGTACGAAATACCGTAGTATTAGTATAGTCAAATGATTAAAAGAAAATTTTTATTCGTGATTTTTTTGTAAAACGTTGATATTACTCACTTTACAAAGTAAAGACAAAAACAAATGATTTAGATACTTCGAGATTTATTTATTTAAATATTCAAAAACTCAACCAGTAAAAAAGGACCTGAATCGCTTGGTGATATTATTGTTTGGTGTTCGCCTATATGAAGGCTAAAGTAAATGTGGGATCGGTCAACCCAATTCATAATTAATTTAAAAAAGGCACTCCTAGCCCTGAACATCATTGGTAATACACCAAAGAGTATAAAAGTTTTAGTTATTTTTTTTCTATTTTCCGCCTTACACAACGTCTAAGCCCTGATTGGTCTAAGGACAGAACATAGCCCTCATGTAATCCTCAGTCCCGCAGACAAGAGTCTGGATCTGCTTTATTTAAATTTTTCAAAAGAGAAGTACAGTCAAAATCTATTATAACGACATCGAAGGGACTACTCAAATTTGGTCGTAAAAACCGTAACAGCCGTTGACGTTGTTAAGTGCCTAATACAATAGAATGCAGCCGGGACCTTTAATTTTGATCAATATAACTGGTATGTTGTTCTAAACGGTTTTGACTTATAATGTATATGCTTTTGCCTTTTGTCTTGTCACTTTTTTTGTACGAAGTTTTCCTTTGCCGTAGTAAGTATTAATTGCAGACATAAAAATTAATTGCTGCAAAACTCAGGGTTGAGAATCGCTTATACCAGACACTCTTAAAGTATAAAATATAGCTCTACTGAAAACCAAGCAATAAAACTCTACCCTTTCAATAAACAAGGATCTATCTTCTCCGACCTTGACAGCCGTTACACAACAAGCGTAACACATAAATCTGTGTGTAACATTTCTTAAAATGTTACAGAATACATCACTGTAAACAATCTGGCGCACGTGCTGATGCTGACTCATCGCAAAGCCAGCCGTGAAATATGACAGCTGAGAATGAGCAAATACACAATTATTCCATGTATAGGGAATATGTAATTTATATGTAAAAGATGGTGTCAAAAATAATACTTTTTGAGTCTCAATAATCTCACGTCTCGAAGAGTCTTCAAACGTAACCAGACATAAAGATATAATTTAAAGTTAGGAAGTAATAGTTTCCTATAACCAATTAGGAAGCGTTCAAGTATTACGTCACGCAATTTTTGGAGATTCTAGGGAAGATTGCAGTAAAATAAATTGGCCTAAACACACACAGCTTTACTAAATAAAAACCACATGAGTCTATTCGGAAAACGAACCATACCCCATTTGTCGATCTCCATAACGTTTACGACATCTTCTTATTTTGATAGTTCGTACTTAACCTCCACTCTTAGGAATTTCACAAAGGAGACGTCACGTCCTGACTACCATACGTCAAAAGTATTAGATTTTGACATGCAGGAGTCACAGTAACGTCCCCTTAAGACTTATGGACACCGCTACGGCCATTCGCGTCACAAACAGTCTACTTTATCACGAAGGACAGAAATGTCTCGTATCGAAAACTAGGTAGGGGACGTTTAAAAATAAAGTAACGAATCATTGCCACGTAATTTGCGGTGTGAAATGCATTTATATTCTATGATGCAATATGACATCCCAAATAGGATCAGCTATTTACAGCGACCATTAGTAATTGAAAAGAGAATTTACCAGCTGAATGTTTCATACGTATAGTATGTGGGTGATTTGTTAAAACATTATGTTATCCTATTTGTATATATATATACGGATATAAAATTCCTGTACATATTTGTAAGTTAATAATTTCGTTGTAAATGGGCTCCATCCCCATCCATTTTTTAGTCAGTAGTTCTGGTAGATAACACTTCTATATAATTTTTGTTTTAACAGGGGCCAAACGGGCAGGAGGGTCACCTGCTGTTAAGTGATACCACCACCCATAGACACTCAATGCCAAAGGACTCGTGTTCATAATATCTAGTTTATGACCGAAAGCTCAGGCATTAAAAGTGAACTTTGCCGAAATTGTAGTAACGATATAATGTTCTATTTCGCTTATGATGGTAATATTTATAGTTTTACATTGATTAATTTATTCTTCTTATACTTGAAGGTCTTCGAACAGTATACGAATTACGAGCCGAGTATGTTAATTCTGCTCACTACTGTTTACTTCACTAAGCAATTACCTAAATCGTAGGAGTTACGCCCCGAGAGTATTGCCAGAAGCAGGCATTCTATTAAGCATTTTAATAAGCATAATGAATTAGTATTGACCTGTTATACGTGAGTGGTTAATATAGAGTAAAAAAACAATTTTACATTATTTAAAACATTGTCTATAAAGAACTACTTGTTATTCAAATAACATCTGATTATCTGATGTTACCCTTAGAGCATTTATAGCAAACACATGTACTTAAGTACTCGAATGTAATGTATGTAAATGAAATATCCTACAATTAGAACAAGTCAACTCAAAGCAAAACAACAAAGAAATAAATACAAAGACATTATAGCATTGTAGCCTTCAAACCTCGCATCTAAAGTTAAAGAATATCTTTTCATAATGGCGCTTCTAAACGGGCCATGTTTTGCTGCAATTGATGGCTGCAACACTGTGGCCGGCAACATTGCAAACAATAGCAGCCACACTATGCAATATTGCAGTAATGTCCCGGCCATATAGCCAAACATGTTTTGTATAGCCACATATGGCCGATGTTGCCCCGATGGGTGGCCGGACGATCGCTAGGCTATCGAATTCAACTGCAATATTGCACAGACAGTTCTATTCTCTCTCTTCAGTCACTCTCTTTGTTATGGCACAGTGTATCCTTTTCTACGCGACATGAAGTTTGCTATGAGTGAAGTGAGCTGCATTTTGACGTTAGGTTACTACTTAAAAATTACTGCTTTTGACATTTTAGTAAAGTTCTTGAATAATTTATTATCAAGGCATATTTCTAGACTTAATCTCTTCTTTTTCTGTTTCTTTTTTAAAACAATATAAGCTGCTGCGACAAGTGTGATTTCGTCAGCCATTGTTGCCAGTTTGTGTAGCCCGTTTAGGAGTCTGCATCATGGGCCATACTATTGCAGACATATTGCAACACATTGCCCAGCCATAGATTGTTCGGCCATCAGCTGCATTAAAATATTTTTGTAATGGCCGGGCAATTAGTGGCCAACAGTGCAGCCATCAATTGCAACAAAACATGGCCCGTTTAGACGCGCCATAAAGATACTATACTCTGAATTTTAATTCCGTAGAATTCTGACAGCTATAATTTTTTGACATGTCAGAGATTACAAACCTTTTTGGCCGGGCTATTTTTCAATTTCAATACGTGTCTGAACATCTTGAGTCTATACATACATAGTATTTGTTAATTAATGTATGCATTTTATTAAGTGAGGTGCTCCACATTAAAAGTAGTTTTACGGCGAATGATAATTACGTTCTTTTGTGATGACAAACAGTAAAAAACGCACAAGTAAAGATAACATTTTTTTAAAAAGGTTTACTAAACCTGGAATTTGTAGGCAGTGATGCCAGCTAAATAATAAAATAAAGTAATTAAAGTTAATTCGATATATTGATCGTGATATTGAAATATATGTTATTTTTGTATTAGGTCACTTGAGTAAGTCAATATTTAGATGTAGGTAAAACATAAAAATACGTAGCTTTTTTTTTAGAACAGGGGGCAAACGGGCAGGAGGCTCACCTGATGTTAAGTCATTGAGAGTGTCCATGTGCGGCATACCGCCAGATCGCTCGCGAGTGCGTTGCCGGCCTTTTAAGAATCGGTACGCTCTTTTCTTGAAGGACCCTAAGTCGAATTGGTTCGGAAATACTTCAGTGAGCAGCTGGTTCCAAAAAGTGGTTGTGCGCGGCAAAAACTGCCTTAAAAAACGCTCAGTTGTGGAACGACGGACGTCGAGGTGATACGGGTGGAATTTCGTATTCTGCTTCGACATCCTATAATGAAACTCTGCTGTAGGTATTAATCCGAATAATTCCTCTGAACACTCTCCATGGTAATCCTTCCCACTTGGACTCAATTGCCTATGCCCATCTATGTGTAAGGTATACAAGAAGGTCACCAGCGGAAAGACCACGACGAAGGCCGCACTGATAATCGCTAATCAGCTGGTGGCCTTCTAGATACCTTAGGAGCTGGGCATTAATGATGGATTAATGGCCAGTTTTCAAACACACTTACATTGTTTAATATATTATAAGGTCAGCGATGAACTTTAAGCTTCTCATATAAGCTATCATTTGATTGTTGAACTTATAATATTCAAATTTTTCACTATCAATCCATTTGCGGTGTTCGTATTATTACCCAAGATCTTATCCTGTACCTTACGTAAATTCGAATAATGAGAACAAAATAGTAACACATTTTGCTATAAAGAAGACGTGTTGAAACTTAACGAAACGAACACAAATAGAATTTGGGTTATAAACTATACAAATTGTCTGGAAACTTGACTTTGAGCTGTCAAATAATCGTAAACGAATATTGGACTAAAATTGTAAAGTTCGTAGGGCCTACGCTACTCGCGAGGAATCGCTGTTAGATAAAATTCAACTTTACAAGTCGATAAAATTCAGCCCACGGGAACTGTAATTTTAGAAGGTGAAAGAAGTCGGTCAAATTCATTATAAATAAATAAATCGTTTATTTGCAAAGAAACTGGTACATTTAGATCGATTAATTATATAAATCCGCACAATCAGCCATATAAAAATAGGCATGCAAATGTCATATTAATTTTCATAATGTCATATAATAAGAAGTGAACATTAACATAATGTCATATTAATTAGTTATTTATAATTGTTGTCAAACTTATGGTTTAAACTTTAAATATTCGCCCACGCTATAGGCACCTCGCCTTTAAAAATTTAAAACGAAAGTACCTTTACAAATAAAGTATAGAAAAGTTCTTAACAACTTAAATTTAATTCGGTTTTCGCACACAACTTACGCTAAAAAAACATATCCCATTTGCCTATCTGCATAATTTTTATGACAATTTTTAATCTTGATAGTTCGTGCTAAGCCTCCAATAAGAATGCAATTTTACTAAACAACTTATTTTTAATTGTGTAATAACTGTGTCACAATATTTTTTGAGTATTGAGATCGATAACTATGTCAAACAAATTTATTGATATGTTTGGAACATAACTCTTATGGATTGTAGAAATTCCTGAAATAAATTATTTCGATATTGGCTCCGTACTCAGCGCCAAACCATTGTATGGCTTGACGTACGTCAATCAAAATGTCAGCATGATGCGCGGGCGCCGAGTCTATGCTCTACATTTATATACGCCTTAGTCTACATTTCAACCATACATGAATTCTAGGGTTACTAGACAGATTTTCTTATCTAATGACGCATCGGCCAAGATACCTACTGTAGTGCTGCTATGAAGAGTAAGTGTAAGAATCCGTAATATCTTGTGTCGTGGACGATAAGGGAGCGTGCAAGAATTACGTAACGAATCTTGGGGGGGGGTGTCGTTTTGTAAAACGTTACGATGCGGGGCGGGGATTCAATTAATCGACTTTCCAGTACTTTACACCACATACTGGTAACTTTTAGGTATAAAGAGTCACTAGGTGGTCACGAAACGTTTTACTACACACACACTGTACTGGTACAGTACAGTTTGTGTGTGTGTGTGTGTGTGTGTGACTATCAAAATTGTAAATATTTACAATTTTGATAGTGTACATAACGTTAATGGATCTAATTGAAATGAATCCAGACTACAATCACAATAAACGGTAGAACAAAAGTACCTGTCAAATATAAAGTCGTAATAATAGATGACAATATTTCGTGTCACACCTATTAATTTTTCTAAATAGTTTTTTTAAGTGATACCGCCCGCCCATTACACCGTCAATGCCAATGACTCAATGGCTCGCGAGTGCGTTGCCGGCCTTTTTAGAATTGGTACGCTTTTTCTTGAAGGACCCTAAGTGTAATTGGTTCGGAAATACTTCAGGGGGCAGCTGGTTCCACACAGTGGTGGAACGACGGACGTCGAAGTGATACGGGTGGAATTTCGTATTCTGCCTTGGAGTCCGATGATGAAACTCACCTGCAGGTATTTATCCGAACAACTTCTCTGAACACTCTCCATCGTAAATGCGGTAATTAAACTTGTACTTGAATGAAGGCAACCGACAACAAATTTAAATAAAAATGGTAAAATCTACTTTCCAAACTTTATTGGAAATAAGAGAGATTCATATCAGCTTAGGTCACTTATAAAATTAGAATG